TATAGCCAGAACATTTTAGCTGAATGTTTGTATGCTTTATTGTAGTCAAAATATTACGTTATCTGTGAGAAAGTGCTTTTCAGGAGATTTAATTAGCCGTAGGCAGCTAATTGGGTTACCCATGGAGGATAAGCCGCCATGGTTAGCTACTATGTTCGCTAGATAGTCTCGTCAAACTACGCGGTGGGCGGCAAGAATAGTGACTTCTGTCACAAAAATAACCATGAGGCCTACTATTTTGACTGTATTAAGGGATGAACGTGGGTCGGTGTTAGTCTTTCACATACTAACCTGTCGGCTTTAAACAACTCGCTGCAGGTGTTTCGCCAGGTTCGAGCTGCGGCTCCCTTTGTGTTCACGATTTGTTTACACTTTGTTGAGTGTTAGCACTGAGCAACAAACAGGTCCTACTTAGTCGGTAGCTTTGCCCTACACGGTCACAAGGTGAGCAAAAGTACTTCGCATATTTCAACTCCTGCGGCGTCATCCTTGGCTAACAGTCGTGGACGCGGCGGCCGACAGTAGTCAGTGGCAGAAAGCCGTCTTTATTAGGAATCGTGACGTTTTTAATTTCTGAGAATCGCTGAAGTATCGGTGTACCGTGCAACACTACATGCAGTAAGTGCTGAGTTCATATACTGTAGATGGTATTTTTACACATCAACATGAGCTTCCAGCAGCAAATAAAGAGCAAAAGAGGAAACAACAAGGCTCCTGCTGTGATAATGCCATTTGAGTGACAGAATGACCCACAGGCAAATAGTGATTAAAAAAAGCAATATTAAGCACAAGGGAATGCTGTAGCACTGTGCTGACTGAATGAAGTGAAAACAATAGGCAGTGCATGTCTAGTGTTATTCTTTGTTAATATTATAGGATTAGTAACTTCTGGGACAGTTATTACACACTTAAGTCAGTCGTAAGTCCTTCGTGCTCAACAAGAAGCTCTCTTGCCTAGTAATGTAGTAAAAAGTTTTCATTATAATAGTATTTTTATTATATGCATTTACATTTTTTTCCGCAGAGTCAAAGTAGTAAATTTGAAAGCAAGCTGCAAAAGAGACTTTTTAATCAATGTGCACTTTACGCTTTATGAGCATGCAGCCTTCTGAAGACACAAACAGAAAAACAAAAAAAATCTGGGAAATCTGCTCAAATAAATTCTATAAACGGGAAGCACTGCATTAATATAATTTTTAAAAAGGTCTGACTGGATCTTAAAATGAGGCTGAGTTGTTGCCTGGCAACTGACGACCGGGAGCATAGAGATAGATTATGTCTGCCTGTGAGGCAGGGTGCACAAAAGGCTTCTCAAATGTCACACACACATAAAGCAACATAAAGCCAAACTAAGGGAGTAAAAGGCAAGACAACCAATCACAGTGCAGTGCAGGGATTACCTGGCTGCCTTATGTTTATTCTACCATTGGTGGGTCTAAGGTGAGGCACAATGATGGTAAATGTTGCTGGGTTAACTAACCTCTCACTGCCTGGGGTGGTGATCCTGTAGAACCGGTGTCTCAGGTGATGCTTGTCTCCATGGTAACAGGTTGTGCAGAGGTCGTAATTGGTGCACTCAGCACATTTCCAGCGAATGCCAATGATGGGCTGTTGACGGCAGGTGTCACACATGGTTCCATCGTGCTTGATGCCTGAGGAGGAACGTTAAGTTAAGATTAATACATTGGGGTTGTACTGCTAAATAGTATACGTACATTGCACGTCGGTAAAAGCATGTGAATAACAACAACATGTACACTGTGTGTCCAAAAAATTCAATTAGACCTATTCTATATGCAATCTGAACTCTGTGTGTTGGACACAGTCTACGATATTTGTGTTCACTATGATACTTGTCCATATTCTCCATGCCTTTTAGGGGGGCTATATTCATTCTCACAAAATCCTACACCTTAGACTACTACAGTTAGAATAGTTTGGGCTTTAAGGCCTCTTATTATTGTCTTTTTAAGATTTTATACATCCGAATCACAAAGAGAACAACAGAAAACTCAACTGCTTCTCATCCCATGATGCCTGCGTCCTCAGGCGGAAATATAAAGAACTAAATGAAGCCTGTCAATTAGATAGGTGCTGAAAAGTGCAACTATACTGGCATGTAATGCTATGACAAGTACAGGCAGGTCGACCTAAACAATGGCGAAGAGGTCCTTGAATAACTTGTGTTTATGCATACAAAAACTGTGCATCCTGAAGACATACTTTGATATAATGAACTAGAACAATGCTTTTTTCTCTCAGTGTACAATCTGAAGTCATAAGCTATGTTGAACGTGTGTACCGGTATCCTGTATACTTCCCAAAGCTTATTCTGCATGTCTTGCACAGAGAGACAGGATGTCTTTAAACACTCATCACAAGCATTCAAGCAGAAGTTTTCTACAGGATAAAACTTGTCCTGCGTCCGAGATTTATATTTCTTATACACTGATGTTTCTTCAACAACCTAACTATTTCAAATGACTGAACCTTTGCGTTGCTGCCGTGAGCTTTTAATCAGAGCAACAGTCGATTTTCGTAGTGTGGGTTTCCTGCACCCACCAAAAGCCCTAAAACTAAGGCCAACAAAGGGATCAATATCTCGCCTGGGGAAGACACTTGGGTCTGAAAGTGCTGGTGAACAAAATCAAACTGATGTGAAGTTACCTGTTGGAGCACTGTCTAATATCCTCACGTCGTAAGCTCCGGAACAACGGTAGTTCGCAGCCGTCCCATTATCCCAGACAACAACCACCTCCTCTGGACTTTCAAAACTCCTGACGGTGCCAACATGTCCTTCTCCACCATCCTGCTTCCCCCACTTCCAGTCAGGTCCGCGAACCACTCTCGCTCCCACTCCTTCCATCATCGCCCGGTTATTCCTGCCGGTGGTCATTTACGAAAAGGGTCTCGCAATGCCACAGAATCGAGTTAGTTAGTTAGTTAGCAGTCTTGGCTAAGACGGCTATCGGTGCGCTGGTGGACAGTTTCCAAACGCAAGTGCAAAGCAAGTCCCAACAGGAAAAGAGACGATCCACAAAGCTAGCCCGCAAGCTAAGTTAGCTACCTAAGGAGGCTCTTTGGACCCTCTTGGAAAAACTATTCCCACAAGCTAACCCTAACCGCAAGACCGTCTCCTCAGCGTTGCCTGCGAGAATAAGAAAACCAATCACCCTAAAAGCCTATTAAGTATCCACATTGCCAGCTTAGCAAGACCTCAGCACTCAGCAAGCTGGCTCTCTCTCTCTCTCCTCCACTCCAGACACAAGAATGCCACCTCTTCAACTTAGCAAGGCTAGCGAGAACGAGTCGCTAGCTATCGCAGTGCTAGCGAGATAAAGCCTCTCCTTATGGCTGAGGTGAACGTGGTCCTTTTTGGTGGTCGCGTGTCCGTGTTGTTGTTTTCTGTGGTGCGGAAAATTCTCCCGAGGTCGCTCCCCTTTGTCAGCCAGAGACTGGTTCCCTGGAGTCAACTCAGAATAAACGCGTCGCCATTATTGTCAATCATCGTTCAGAGCTCAGACGAGCAACAACTAGCTCCGGAGGTGGCCGACAAAGCACGAAGAGCCGAGGCTTGGGAGAACAACGCGCATGCGCACCTGTAGCGTTCAAGGCTGAGAGAAAAACACAATCTATGTATTCTGAGCCTTTTAATGATATTGTGTATGATTTTTTTTATTTGATGTTTTTTTTTTTTTAAACAGGGCATTTTTCAATCAGAACAACAATTTAAATTTACCCACTTCTTATAAATACCATCGTTTGCACAGATAAGTACACCACCAGAGACAATAAGACCTTGGA